ATTAATTAAATTCCAACAATACCAAAACCCCCCTTTTATTTACTAGTTCATAAAAAGAGAATTATTCCTTTCCCTGTGGATACGAACTCTACTACGCTATACTACGTATTAGTGCTAGTATTGAATTTATTTTGAGTGCACACACGACAAAGTGCACGTCAGGTCTCAACAATCCATTTCTGACTTACTATTCTAAGCTTGAACTTCAAGTTACACAGATGGTCATGATTCCAAACTTTAAGTTGAAAGCACTTCAACCTATCTTCCCAACTAGCAGTAGAAGCAAAAGGGCAATTAATGACACATTTTAGTCGGACTCTCATAGGCTCATTCTTAACAAAGACTATATCTCTTTTATTATACACAGTGATATTCGTGTGATTTCCGATTGTATGTTTGTATTTTAACTAGTTTTTATTAGTTCTAGTTATGGAAATTACACACTTTTGGTGTAATACTTTATTTTCATAATTATTTGTAATTTGTTTAGATTAGGACTATTCTGAGCTAAACAAGTCAAAAATCATCCAAGGGATCAATTAAGATTGAACCTTAAAAGATCAAGGAAAGTGCAAGGAGGCAAGAAAGATTTCGATTTGGAAAAAATGCTCACGTACCCGATCGAGTATAGGCAATACTCGATCCGGTATTTGCGTGATTCGATTGTCCAAATAAAATCCGAGAACAAATGAACGTGGGCGCAAGATTTTGTGAAGATATGTCATATGCCCGATCGGGTATGCCGACATACCCGATCGGGTATGCCCAGAAAGGTGACTTTGTGGGAAATTTCCTAAGATACCCGGTCGGGTAACAGACCCTGCAGCTCCCAAAAGTTTATAAATACACCTCTTTCCTTCACAATAAAATCACCAATTCACATATATTCTTAAGCTCAGTTTAGATTAGTGTTTTTTTATATTTTCTATCATGTGTAGTCTCCAAATGAGGCGCTAAACTCTTACATCTTGGTTTTGCTACTTTGAAGCTCAATGAATTATAAGTTGTGACTTATTTTCTTTAATCTTCTTCCTTGAATAATAATTCTTCCCTTAATCTATATCTATATTAATGTTGGGCAGTGTTGCTAAGATGACAATTAGTTAACATCTCGACATTAGTTATAGTAACATTTATTTTCTTGAATATTCTTCCTTGAATATTAATTAATTCATATTCATATTTTGAGCATTACTTAAAGGATCAACTAGTTTTGTTTCATATATTAATTATTACTAGAATCGATCGACGAAAACGCTTGTTAATCGTTCGGTCTTTTCACTATAGTAAACTTGGATTATTAATGCATGCGTCTCATGGTTAATAATATAAGGGGAATTAATTATGTTGATTAAACCGATAAACCGCTTGTGTTGAGGTTATCAATCTCAATCGTTTTCATCTTAAGTTTATTGCTACTACTGGGTTAATATACGACGCGTGTTCTATATTGACTCGGTAGTAAGTTTTATTAATGAATGCGTCTCGATATTAATAACTACCTGATATTCATGTAATTTCCGATTGTATGTTTGTATTTTTAACTAGTTTTTATTAGTTCTAGTCGTGAAAATTACACACTTTTGGTGTACTACTTTATTTTCATTTTTTTTTGTAATTTGGTTAGATTAGGATTTTTCTGAGCTAAACAGATCAAAGATCATCCAAGGGATCAAGATTGGACCTTAAAAGATCAAGGAAAGTGGAAGGAAGGTGCAAAAATCTCAAGACAAATGAAGATCCTAATTTTTTGTGTTGTACCCGGTCGGCATTGACCTATACCCGATCGGGTACCTTGCTAAAAAATCAAATCGGATCAAGTCCGGGAACAAGGCATCATGCAGGAAGATTTTTAACCACGTTAGGGTGTCATACCCGATCGGGTGACCGGGTCAGCCCCCGTTGGTATGCCCCAATTTTCTGGTTTCCGGGAAGCCCTCTAAGTACCCGATCGAGTGCCCTTGAAGCCTGATCGGGTACACAGCCCTGCAGCTCCCAAAAGCCTATAAATACACCCCATTTCCTTCCCATAAAATCACCAATTCATATATACTCTTTAGCTCAATTTAGATTAGTGTTTTCTTTATATTTTCTATCATGTTTAGTCTCCAAATGAGGAGCTAAACTCTTCCATCTTGGTTTTGCTACTTTGAAGCTTAATGAATTTGTAAGTTGTGAGTTATCTTCTTTAATCTTCTTCCTTGAATATTAATTCTTCCTTTAAATACTATTTCTATATCAATGTTGGGGAGTGTTACTAAGATGACAATTAGTTAACATCTTGACATTAGTTATAGTAATAGCTATTTCTTCCTCTATGTTAATATTGGGGAGTGTTACTAAGATGACAATTAGTTAACATCTTGATATTAACTATAGTAGGATTCATCTTCTTTAATATTCTTCCTTGAGTATTAATTAATTCCTATTCATATTTCATATTAATAATTTGAACATTACTTAAAGGATCAACTAGTTTTGTTTCATATATTAATTATTAATAGAATCGGTCGATTAATACGCTTGTTATTAATTCGGTCCTTTCACGGTAGTAAACTTGGGTTATTAATGCATGCGTTTCATGGTTAATAAACCAAGGGGAATTAATTATATTGATTAAACCAATAAACCGCTTGTGTTGAGGTTATCAATCTCAATCGTTTTCATCTTGATTTTATTGCTACTATCGAGTGAATATACGGCGCGTGTTCTATATTAACTCGGTAGTAAGTTTTATTAATGAACGCGTCTCGTTATTAATAACTACCCTCGATGAAGTGGAGATACTCCTCGATTGAGTATTCGAGAGGAAGATAGTTAAAGATATATCCGGGATCGACGAACATTTCATTAAGTGGATAAAAGCAAAACCAAGTCTCATTCTCATTAATTAAACCACATAACTCGTTCATCTTTGTGTTTTAATATTCTTAAAAGTTCTTCAACATCAAATCTAAAACCCCCCCTTATTACTAGTTATAAAAAGAGAAATATTTCTTTCCCTGCGGATACGAACCTTACTACGCTATACTACGTATAAGTGTTGTATTGTATTATTATTTTGAGTGCACATCACGACAAAGTGCACGTCACTACCCTCGATGAATTGGATATACTCCTCGATTGAGTATTCGAGAGGAAGATAGTTAAAGATATAACCGAAATCGACGGACATTTCATTAAGTGGATAAAAGCAAAACCAAGTCTTCATCTCTGTTAATTAAACTCATATAAGTCGTTAATCTTAGTGTTAAATTAATTAAATTGAATCAAACTTAAAACTCCCCTTGTTACTATTTAATTAAAAAAATATTCTTTTCCCTCTGAATGCAAGTTAGGTGGGTTAGATGAGTCATATTCAGTAGTTTCTTCTTCAGTGTCATTCTCAACCCCATGCTCAGGAGTTTGCATATTTTCCATTTCTGAAACATTATCTGTCATTGGTGTGGAATTATTGTTCAGAACTTCTACATCATGTAACACCTCTTCTTCTTCATCCTCATAGTCTGCTTCACAACTACCACTTTGATGTTCTTCCTCAACATCACTTTCATGACCTGAGACATCACTACCAACATTTGTGTCATCATTAATGTCATCCTCATCACCATTTGGTTCATGATCTTCACTTTCGGCCTCAACATCATCTCCTTGGGGGTGTAGTTCATCTTATGCATGGTCTACATATATCTCACACTTTTCACAACTTCTAGTTAATTGTATTAGGTTCAGTCATTGTTCTAAAACTCGCTAGGCGCTAGTCGGGCGGTTGAGGGGCGCCTAGCGCCTAGGTGGCCGACTAGGCCGATTTTTTGGCCGACTTGGCCGATTTTTCGGCCGACTAGGCCAATTCGGCCTCTACGGTTAGGGCCGCCTAGGCCGCCTAGGCCGATTAATCGGTCCGCCTAGGCCGATTTTTAGAACAATGGGTTCAGTGCAGTCTGATCATCAAACAACTCATGCAAGGACTCCATATTGGCACTTGGTGTTTTGAAGAAAATACATCTGATGGAGCTATTGCTTTGACCTTCTAAGAACTTCTTCAAGTGGAGATAACTAATCACAGCAGGATCTGCAGCTTCTGTCTCAACAACCCCTCCAACATACATCTTCTTTGAATCACAGCTGACCCCCCCCATGGTGTACTAGTAGTTCTACTACATGTCTCAAACATTCTACAAATATAAGAATAAAGATTCAGCATTTCACTTCAAAGTAATGTCATGAACGTGTAAATTAAAAGTCACTAACTAACACATAAAACATAAGAACAATAATTGAAATTCATTGAACTTCACCATTACATTCATGTAAGTATAAATAGACTACTTTTAAGACCTAAAAGCTCAGGTTTAGGGTTGTATCATCAACATGACCGGAACTGCAAACTAATTCAGTTGTACCAAACATTAAGCACTTCATGTAATCTTAAACCATAATTCAACCAAAAATCTTCATATAAACTGTTAGCACTTCAAAAGGGCAAAGAATCATGAACGATCACAGCACAATTAATTACACACAATTTGAATGCGGCAACTACAAGAACGTACCTTACAGGGCTTCACACCACTTCAATTTAACTCCCGTGTTCCAACAACGTTCCTTCCAGGGCTACACACCACTGGGCTTGAACTCCGACGTTCCAACAATGAACCTTCCTCTCCTTCGCAGCACTTTGGTTAAGCTCCCACATTCTAACTAACTCATGTAATCGTTCGCTATTGTTCTAAATCCGAGGAAGGTTAGGTCAAGTTAACGGATGGAATTTGGGGAATTTTACATGTCACCCATTAACAGGCTAACCGGGTGTCCACCGGCTAAAAAGCCTGATTGGTTGGTTTTGGTTAGTCGCATATTTGATTGGGTGATTCAAAAATACAAGAGCTTAATTGAAGAATTGACCAAAGAACAAGAGTTTATTTGATAGTTTTCTCTTTATTTTTTGTAAGAATATAATGAGAATTTATTTAGGATGTAAGGACTACATCTGCAAAGCGCGGGAAGTTTGAACAGACCGGCATCCATGCCCGGGAAAGAGAGGATGGACGATTCGGTTGCAATTCTGTGTCAGATATCTCAGCTCAAGGACATGCTTGATAAGGTAACTCTACTTCAGTTCAGTGTATCGGTAGAATCGCCATTCGCCAGAGTCTCAGATCATGATCATAGGGTTGGGTATTCGTTTCAGGTGAACGAGGAAATCGAGGCTAACATCAAGATCACCAGAGAAATCGAATCGGAGATTGTCAAGTGCTCCGAAGCCGAGGTCTCCCTGCTTGCCCAAGAATCGGAGCTGATGCAAAGAGCGTACATGCAACAGTTCGAAATCAAAGGCTTGATGGCCGCCACTGGTACTATAACACTGTGATTAGGGATTACAATGAAATTAGAATTTTGATTCCCCTGAAAGAAATCTCGGAACAAAATGAAATTATGTTTTCTTTTTGAATAACAGGAAATCAATAGCTGGAGTGGTAGGGGACTGGCATAGCAGTAAATGATACGGAGTAGTATCTACATTCATTATATCGTTTGTCTTGATCCCAAAAGACGAGTCTCTTGTCTGCATTCATTATTGAATCTCTATATACGTAGTATTAGGAATAGGATCAAACTGAATTGCATGATTGTGGTGTGTTGTTTTATGGCATCTTTTGAGTTACAATAGGTCAATAGTTTTACTTTGACTGAAAATTGTTTGGATTATAGCCTTGGAGTTGGTGAATAACCCTTAGATTTATCCTTGGTGGAAATTACTCTCTATACTGTAGTGCTCTAAACTCCTCTCCCTTTTTATACAGCTGCTTCAAAAACCTCCCACAAATCATTAGAGGAAGAGTTAGGTTCTCTTAAAAGGAAGCAGGATGAGATACTGACCCGAATGAACATCCAACGGTAGTGATCCTAACCATTTTGGCTCTGTGTTGATAAAAAGTGCAACTCGAAACACAAATAGCAATCTGAAATAACGAAATCTCACATTAATCTTCATATGCAAAAGCGAAAAGCTAATTCCTTGGAAAAATTCCCGAAATAATAGGAGTAAAAACGTTTGAGAATTCCAAAATAGGACTGTCATGTTTTTATTCCTTAAATAGAAGTAATTACTGTCAAGCTTGAAAAATACTGTCATGTTTAAAGACTGATACTATTGAAACATGATAGTAATTACTCTTATTTAGGGAATAAAAGCATAATAGTCCTATTTAAGGCAATTTCCCTAATTCCTTTTATGGCCACAATCCATTTTATGTACTCGTATCTCATGAAAAATGTTAACAGAATATAACTTCTAACAAGTGTTTCTAATCTGGCTGGATGAAGTTATTATTATAACCCAAATGTGTTAGTTTGTTTTGGAAAAGGAATGACGTAGTACAGCGTATTTTATATGAATATGAATGTTTTGATGCTCTAATCTTCCTTTCCTATATTCCCATGCCTACTACACTACTACTCAATGTCTCAAATCTTATTGATTGATGCCTATGAGTAACATAAACAACCCAGCATTAATTAATATAAGATGCAAAGCAAGACTGAATGCATTTTGTAATATAAATCCCTAAACGTTTTCCTTATGGCACTGTAACGAGAGAACTTGTTTTCTATCAAGAATATATGATGCCTTTGATTAATTTAGGTTTTCCAAAGCTGTAATATTATTGATGAAAGCTGCGGTTTGTTCTTGAAGTCCATAATATGAAAATCCTATGCGGTGTTCTTCACAAATGATGTTTCCAGAGTAGGCAAAAGGTAATTATTTGTTACTGTACAGAGAAAGGTTCCTGAAATCATGCATGGATTTTCAAAAAAACATTAGCAAACAAGAGAATGATGAAATTGGGGCTTTGATCTTGAAGAAAGAGCTCCTACAAAGTGAAGTTCATTCCTTAAACACAAGAAATTCTGATCTACAAAACTCAATGGCTGCATTTGTTGAAGAAATTCTTGAAGATCTCCAGAATTCTATTCATGGTACTTTGTTACTATGCTACAATAATCTTTACTTTCCTTCCATTTTTGGAATAACATAGAGCAGGTAGGTCAATATGTTGGGGGCATGTACGTTACTGACACAGTTTTCTTTGGCTTAAAAACAGGTCAATATATTTGTTTGTATAGTTCCTTTTATATTTTTTTTATGTTTAATCACAGAGTTTTTAAGTTATTACATATTACTAAGGTTTACCAACATTTGGTGCTACATCACTACTAAAATACTAGTGATTTCCGACTTTCCATGTTCCATGGCTTCTTTGTCCATTCTATTTGTATGTTCAGTTAGCTCTATTAGTCAGATAGTTGATTTAGTTTTGAAAGTAGAACTGCATAAAGTCTTTGGGTAGTTTGTGTAATCAAGTTCTCACATAACTTCATGGATAGTGATACAAGTACGAGGGTCATGGAATGATATAATTATTTCAAATTCTTTCACCCTCATGGCCTCGTTTATTCATTTGGGGACAATGTTGAGATAATTTTACTGCTTGCTAAATCCCTCCCTAAAATGTATTGTGCTGATCAGTATTATCTGAAGTTCTCACCAACTTCATTGCATTATAAAAATAAACATTTACTGGAAATTTCTGCCAAGTCTGAAGTGAACTTATTATGACGTGCAGCTCTAGAGATTGACATAAGAATTATCGAGAATGAAAAAGAGAAATTGATGAAGGATATTGATGAATTGAAGAAGACATTGATTCAGCTATGCCAATGTGATAAATCTTAAGGAGTGTTTGCAAGAGATTATTTTAAGTGCTTTTGAGCTTCTAACTTAAAAAAAGCAGAAATTAGTGTTTGTAAACACTAGCTTCTACTAAAAAAAAGTGCTTTAAAGCTAAAATCTAGAAGTTGGGGTTATGGTGCTTTTTTCTGCTTCTTGACTTTTCTGTAATTAAATTGAACTCTAGGGATGGTTATGATGAGAAATTATTTATCTTAAACCCAAATTACCCTTTCCCTTCTCTCTGTCGCATCTTCCCCACCGACCTCTGCGTCTCTTCTGTTGCTGCTTCTTTCTCCCATACGCACACTTCTTCTTTCCCCTCTACGTTTTTATGGCTTCTCCAATTTCTCTAACTGGGTCATAAAGAATTGTGTATGAAATGGATTTTGGGGAATTGTAAAATTGTTGGTCCATCCTCTTTGTTTAGGGTCTTAGGGATGGTTGGTGATTTTGGCGTCTTTGTTGGTCGGTTGAAGTTGATGATAGCCGACAGATTCGGATTTCCGATGGAAATATATCTTTGTCGGTCTATTGAAGTTGATTAGTATTCCAGAGGAGAAAACGGTGTTTTAGAGGGGTGTTTGTGTACTTTGATAAAATATTAAAACAAAAATCACTTTTTTATCAAACACTACAACTTTTACTTTTTCATCAAAATCACTTCTATTCTAAAACACTATCAACTTTTTCTAACAATCACTTTCTCCAAAATCACTTTAAAAAATCACTTTTTTTCAGTAGAAGCAAACGCAAACACTCCCTTAGTAAGCTTTTTTCGCTTCTTATTGCATTGGCATTTCTCTTATAGTACAACCTCGGGCCCAGTGCCCATTCACTTGCAAACAATCTAGATGTAGCAGAAGGGAAAATTATTTAGACAATAAGAGAGCAGAAGTTCAAAGTAAACCCTAGGGAGTCTTGGGGTCCCTACATAATCCAACCCTCTACCACTATCTATACTCGTTCTTCCCTTAATCATCTGTGACGTTCAACAAGCCAATGCCTGTTGCTTGTTAAGCTGTGTGCGTCCAAGGATTGTTTATTGATCCTGGATAATGAGTACTCGAGGGCCGTTCGAGTCAGGCGCCCCTGACCGGAAGGCCCGTGCGGCCTTCCCCTTTTGAGTATCTGCCCGGTGGAATTTTTTTATGAAAATTTTTGAGCATGTTTCTCATCAAGTCTAGTTTATCCATACCAAATTTCAGCTCAAAATTCGACCGGGAAGACAATCAAATAAATTCTTGAAACATATAGCACTTTATATATGCGCAGAATGCCCAACATGTTTCAAGAATTTATTTGACTGCTTTCCCGATCGAATTTTGAGCTGAAATTTGGTATGGATAAACTAGACTTGATGAGGAACATGCTCAAAAAAATTCATCAAAAAATTCCACCGGGAAGGTACCCAAAAGGGGAAGGCCGCACGGGCCTTCCGGTCAGGATCGCCTGACTCGAACGGGACTCATGAGTACTATTCTCAACTGATCATATATTTCCTTGGTTGTTTACTAAAGCTTAATTCCCATGTTAGTTAGTTTATGAAAAGTTGTTTCAACTCTCAAATATAGGGTGGGCATTTCGGTTTCAGCTTAATTTTTTTGGTTTTGGATTCCAAATGATTTGTGGGAATGATTACCAAATAAAAACCATACTATGTTTATATTTGATACGATTCGATTTGGATACTTGTTAACAGGTTTTACTTATTATTTTTTTAGTTCCATTTGGTGATATTCAATTTTCTATGTTTTCGGTTTGATTTAACACAGCTTTAGAGAAATTTAACCAAAATGAAATCAAATTGTGTATAATTTGGTTCAGATTGATTTGGAACGGTTTTATTTGGCCAAACCAAATTAATATGCTCATAAGCTTGTCCCTGTTTAAATACTCTCTTTGTAATAAAGTTTCTAGTTTGAATTCACGAGTTTGTAGGTTATATAGCTTTTTATCGGCTCTTTGAGAAAAATATTGGCACTCAAAGTATACTCACATATTAATGAAGTGCGTTCATTAGGGTAAAAGAGTATTTTATCATTCAAATATTGAACGTGTTTCACAATCTGAGGTTAGCGGTCAGTGGTTAGTGGGATATATTAGCGGATTATTGATAATAGATTTTGTTAGCGGGTTTGTTTAGAGGATGATGCCTATAGGTTACAAAAAAGTGTTTGGTAATTTTGGACGTAGCGGTTATTAGGCATGGACCAGTATCGGGCCGGGCCGCGCTCCGAGCTGGTCCAAACCGGGCTTTTAGTTTTTGGGTTAAGGCCCGGTACCGAACCGGGATTCTATCGGGACGGTCCGGGCCGGGACCGATCCGAGCCGGGTTCAATTTTTTTTATAGCTTTTCTAATTATTTCCTACACCCCACCCCCAAACCCCGCCAAAACATCAAGTCCAACCCGCCTACCACCAAAACACTTCGAGAAAAAAATCTTTTGGGCCCGGATCGGTCCAGGCCCGGCCGGGCCTGTTCCAAGAGGGACAGAGCCCGTGACCCCCCCACTCTTGTCCGGACCCCAGGCCCGGTTCACCGTGACGGGCCGGTACCGCACATTGGCAGTCCGGGCCGGTCTCGGTACACCACCAGTGGTTATTAGGCAAGTTCTACTTCAAACCATTAAGCCCAAAATGCTGCTATTTGCAACGTTTCTATATCAACAACTATTTCCAAGAACGTCAAGACCGAATATTATTTGCAAAACAACATGGATCACCGGGGTCCACGGATTAAAATGCTAAAAATGATTAAATGGGTGTTTTTTTAAATAACTAAAACGTCATTTTCTAAACACACATTTAAAAAATGAAAAAATAGAACTTAATTCTTGACGAGCAGGAACTTACTTCCAAAACTGGGGACGGGGGAGTGTATCAATTGAACTAAGATTTTCCCCATGGAGTATTTGAACTCCACCCTTTATTTCCAAGAATTTTGCTAGGGGTACACAATTTGGACCAGCGATGGATGGGTTTGGTTGTCCGGCGTTTGTTTCTCCAGAGCAGAGCAGAGCCGAGGAACGGCGTCGCTGGATGGGTTTGGTTGTCCGGCGTCGCTGGATGGGTTCGGTTATCCCGCGAAGATGGCGGTCCGAATCGTGGAGTGGGTGCGGGAGTATGGAGCGGGAATTGGGATGGATGGAAGGCGAAAGAAAATAGGGTAAAATTTTGAATTGGGAAGGAAAAGAAGTGAGGTAAAAAAATATGGGGTGCCAAGGGTGTACACAAATTGTGTACCCTACCAAAATTCTTATTTCCAATGAACAAACACCCTAGGATGAGGTATAAAGTTAAAAATTAAAGTAATCATGAGGCGGCGAGGCGCAATGACTAAATGAAGAAGGAAAATGATGTTTGTACCCACTTTTATACCCACTTTTGTACCTACCCATGTTTGTGAAGTTATTTTTTTTGTCTGTGAATTCCTTCACAGACAAAATATGTCTGTGAATTCCTTCACTGACAAAAAAATAGCCTTCATAGAAGTGGGTATAAGGTGGGTACAAAGTGGTGGGTAGAACAAGCATGCTTGAATAAAGAATGGGTGGTAAAAATTGTTGTGCAAAGACCAGTTTTCCCTCAAGACAACTGACACGTGTTCGAAATATGGATTTTTGTGCTTTTAGAGAGAGATCTTAGTTGTCACACTAAGGGTCCAGCAATGCGAGCTTTCTGAATAGCATACCCCATGTTTGAGTGAAAATCTGATTCATATCCCAAACATCTATTCAATGTAAAGTTGGTTCATCATTTGCGATGGAGAGGGTGAATAGTCGGTTAATAAGCCCACATAAGCCACATTTGGGAGTATTACCCCATTTCCATGTGCAATCCATGTATAGGCGAGTGGATGAATGGGGTCATTTGACTCATTGGGGGCGGAGATGTGAGATATCTACACCTATTCAGCCCTCACTGCCACTTTGTGCAATGAAAGGAGCCCACCTGCTGGGCATCTCAGCAGTACAAGAATAATGTTCCAATTCTCTCATTTGTCATTTAAAAAGAATGAAGTTGTCCATATATCAGACACATACTCCCTCCGTAACATTCATATCTTCCCATTTCCTTTTTTGGACGTAACATTTATATCTTCCCATTTCTAAATCTTCCCATCATACCTTCAATAATTTAAAAAATAATACACTATTACACATACTTTTTTTGGATTTATCCTTCATTCCATCACATTATTCACAATCTTCACATCATACCCTCAATAATTTATATTCCCTTTCACTATTCCTAATCTCACCCACTTTGGAAGTGGGAAGATATATGTGATAGGGAGGGAGTAATATTTACTTTAATAGGAGTATTTAACTTTATACTTCATCCTAGGATGTTAGTATACACCATTTGTATACAAAAAGGTGTATACTAATAGACCGTTTGGTCGACATATTTTTCGCCTTATCAGGTTTATCAATTAACTTTTCATCAAACACGTAATTTTTTATGTC